TTCTTTTGACCCTGAGATCTGCTTCCAAAGTGATGATGGTCAACACAGAATCCATAAAGTCTTTTTCTGGTGTTGTTTCCCCACTTCCATCACTCCATATTGATCTACATTGAGCTGCACATGCCTTTTAACACTCAGCTTCTTATGGTCTTCCTGCAATTCTTCACACATCCCTGGTCTTTATCACCCTGAATAGTTTAATACAATTCAATAGACTTATCACTTCATTATGTGCTCCTCCTACAAAATTATTTGTTGAAAGCACCACAAGCACTGGGGTGACAGTCTTCCAACAGAAATTAGGGACTAAAGTGACAAAATTCATACATATTTGGAAGACTGTGTGTGGCTGTGTGCACATGTATGGTGCACAAGTAACAGCACTGAAAACAGAGTTTTTCATAACCCTGGTTACAGTGCACAGATATGATAGAACCTGAACTGAATTACAATTATAAAGCAAGCCACATGCATTTCCTTTATGCTTATACAGAAAAAAGAAATCATTACCCACTTTTTATAGGTTGGTAACATTTTGACACTTCCTGACTAGCTCTGGAACTCATTCAGGCTTAAAAAACCTGGCAGAAATTAGGAAGATAAATACTTTTCAAGGAAAAAAAAAACAACAACCCAAGCATCTCATAGATCTATGTATATTTTAAAAAGACTATTAAAGTAACCCATAGAAATTTTCAGTAATTGAAATTAAATCAAGCTGTCTTTGAAAATGAACAATTGCACCATCTTGATAGGATTTCATTATCCCTCTAAAGTCACTTTGTAGTATTATACAATATAAGAATTGTCTGGTTTGTGATGCAGAGAATCCAGCTTGAAAATTGAAAACTAATGGGAATGAAAGAAGTGACAGAAATATCTCTTGCTTGATCTCCTGCAGGGCTTACCAGGGTCACACAGAAATGCCGAATCTGGTGATGGAAGTACATTTATTTATGCCAAAATTGCATGGCTCAAGCCAAAATTGCAGAGCTCAAATAAGTTACCTGAATATATATACATAGATATAAATATAATGAATTTTTTTCCTTCAAAGTGTGAGCATGTCTTAGAAGTCTGTAACACTGATATACTCAGACACTAAAGATTGATTGCACTGTTCTGAACCTGGTGTTTTATAACAAGCAGCATATGTATAACACTGTAAAGGTGCAAACTTTTTGATTTTTATTCACAATTTTCAGATAGAATTATCAAAACTTCTATATAAGATATTATCACATATTATCTCAGCCTTCTTTTATTAATGTACTGAGGGAAAAGAAATAAGAATAAAATTAAGACTCTTCTTTTTTGAGCCAACAATTTTACATGCATGCACAGAATCCTCATAAAATTAAACAGGTGTGAATAAGGATAGAAGAAATATGAATAGTTTATGCTTTTTTATCAGTCTAAATTGAGACCCACAAAACTGTGGCAAGCACCTTGAACCAGAGCTGAAAATACTGGCTTTTATGCCCTGGGCTGGGGGAGGTCATAGGAATGTTCAGGATACCCTGATTTCCAATGTCCTCATTGTTATGAAGAGCATATTTATTTGTAAGTGCACACAAAACACTACCTCAATATCAGACACTGATGAATACAGTGTGTCATTTGCCTTCTACCTCTGAAAATGAAATTGCAAGTTTATTTATCAACTAGTAATTCACAGAGGAGGCAGCAGGAGCTCCCCGTGTGTCCTGATTCCAAAAGTTTGTCACAGCTGTCAGTCTTCCCTACCAGGGGTTTTCTGTCTGCCATGAGACTTTCCTAAAGCAAAAGCCCTGCTGACTGTGAGTAAGGCTACCAGGAAAAGCAGCCTGGCAGAAAACCTCAGTGAAATCTATCCAACAAACACACAGAAAAGTACTTTCATCATTTCAGCATTTGTCAAAACCTCTTTCCCAGAGAGAGGCTGAGGGCAGGGTGAGCAGCACCTGCAGAGGAAAACCATCGGTGGGGGAATGGAGTCTTGTGTACCAGTGCTGGGGCTGGAAAGGAAGGAGGTTTAAAAGAACTATGAAACCACTTGTTGTAAAGGCTCCGAGTGAACGTACTGCCTTTTCATACAGTGCCTACTCACGTTCCACAAGGTAACATGCTTTCTACTTATTTGCTTTCCTCATTCCATTGGTAGATTGGATTTAAAAGTAGGTTGCTTCAAATATTTACTCCTCTAGAATGTCAAACTGAATCAAAACCACATCCATCACAAATGGTGAATCATTTTTCACATCAGACATTCAGGCTTGACTCATTTGCCTGCTGCAGGGATATCATCCTTTATTGCTACAGTTCCTATAATGGGAAACAAGCATTCAGTGATTGAGCATGATTGACTGCAAGCTACATGTGAGTCTCTCTTGCAAGCCCAAATTCACTTAACATCCACGCCTTTTTCACAGAAGTTCATGTCTATATACAAACATAGGGTGAAAACATTTCTAGAGGAGAAAGCTTGAGCACACTTGCTGTCTTATTTGAGCCTTGTGTGGCCTGAAGCAGAATGTGCTAATGGCATGCCAGTGTGCCAGCAGATATTTCAAACATACTCTGGACACTTGGGCCCAACAGTTATGAGCAAGGATGGAAGGTCATTGCATTTAATGTGCTCTTGAGACTGTTATGATCTTGCAGCTGGAAAAGCGCCTGGGACTATCCATTCTACTGACAGGGCTGCTTTGGTCTGAAGAATTTCACAGGCAAAGAAGATAGCTGTGACTCACAGGGCTCAGTTTTTAGGTCAGAGTTTGCTCGGAAGAAATGAATCAGCTGGAAGACTTACTCATCAAATGCTTCCTATAATTAATTTCATTAATTTACATTTGTAGGGGTTCTTAATGCAAATAGTAAGATTGATACAATTGTAGAGTGAACAGAAGTGTGTGTGTGTGTAAGCACCAAAAGAAAGAGCAAAGTGTTAAAAGAATGCCCTTTATGGACAAACAAAAGACATGTTTAGAGGACACTGTTCCTGTGCTGTGCATGTCAAGGCCAGCAGATGACCATGCACTCTGCCATCAGGAGGATAACATCTCCAGGTTACAGCATAATACCCATATCATTACTTTTCCTGTTAACCCAGCCTAAAAATAGTCTGTAGATAGAGCCTATATATTGCAGAAAAGGAAAAATGTACTGAGAGCTACTGAGAAATATAAAAGATCACAGAATGGTAGTGGTTGGAAGGAAGCTCTGTCCAATCTCTCTGCTAATGCAGCTTCACCTAGAAAAAGCAATACAGGTCGCATTCAGACGAATTGTTAATATGTCCAGAGAAGGAGACTGCACAGCCTCTGTGGTAGATCTGGCCATAAACTAGCCTGTCATTTCTGATCAAGAAGAACCACAGAGACAGGATCAGGACCCAGTGGCTGGTATGACCTTTTCCCATCTCAGGTGATGCTCAGGATCACATGAGTTCACAAATCTTCGTGCTTATGAAGGTGAGTCTGAGTGAATGAGGTTCAGGAGGGAGTGTGAGTTGAAAAAATTCAGCTTATTTAGGGATTCTGCACCTAAACCTCACCTTCCCAATCCTGAAACTCTCACACTGAGTTTTTTTACACGGAATACACTAAACTTTAAGTGATACAAAATAAATCTCAAAAAAAAAGAATGTTCTATGCTTCCATGGCCCTATGCAAAGAGAAAAAAATTACCCCTTTTGTTTTCCCACTAAGGACATTTTTGCAGTCCAACTTAAAGATGAAAAGCAATTTTAGTGAAATATTAATGCTGACATCATTAGCTACATCTAGTTACATTAGCAACATCTAGCATTTATGCTAGATATTTTTTATTATGTTAGATGTTTTTTATTAAAGTAGCATCTACTTGTGTTTTGGAGACGCTTGGGTTTGACACATCTATTAAAATATGTATGAGTAAGTGGTGTTCCACTTACCTGTATGATTCCAGGACAACTCCATTAATGTTACTGACTGCACTACACTAAAAGTACATGGCTACTATGCTCTAATCCACTGTTTGGACTGGGTTTGATATGTGTACAGAGCCTTAGAGAGAGCAAATTCTGTATAAAAGTTGAACAAAACGGCATCACCAGCTTGATAGTGTACAATGAAACAGCAGTCTTCAGTGACTCTATGGAATAAAAGTTACAGTGGTTTAGGTAAAAATCTAGTTAAAGAAAGATGAAGTGAGAAAATGCAGCATTTTAAACGTGTAAGTATTCATTATACTACATTCTGATTTAGTAGACATGTTAGTGCATAAATATACATATATGTATTAGAGAAAGCTTTAAAAAATAGGAAGTCTCCTAAACAGTGTCTTCAGAAGAAAGAAATAGTGCACACAGGACGGTTTTTGAGTTCATAGAGAAATTCACCTAACTTCAAATGTCTCACTCTAACACAGTCACCTTATCAATTCTTTATTATCCATGGAGAGAAACAGGCACTTACAGAAGGTGAATTATCCATCTCAGACTGACACAACGGAATCTCCAGGTATTTATTTCCTTGTTTTGCCTACAGAGGCCTCTTACAGTGACAAACTGAGAAGTAAATGCGCAATTTTTATGTGGATGAAGTTATAAGGGCTATAAGACTCTCTCCTTATAGCACAGATCATCCCCCACTAAACTCTGTAATATTCCTTCAAGTCTTTAATTTGTTTTCCTCTTAATGAATACGTGCACCCTAACACTGATGCATGATCCATCCCTGTAACAAGGAACTAAAATATTTTTGTAATACTCAGATATTTAAGGTTTTTTATTGTTTACTTCTTATATAAGGTAGTACAACTCTTCCAAGCCCTAGAGAAAAAAAATCTCATCCACTATTATTTTTAAGATCTTGCAAAGCAAAACATAAATCAATCTTTATTTTTGTTAAATGCTAGCTAAACATTCTCCATCATTCCTCTGACATAGCCTTACTTATGCTGGAAAGAAAATACACCTTAAAAGAAAAAAAAAGAAACTTTGTGAAAGAAAAAGTATATTAAGAAAATAATGACTTTACCTATTATCACATGCATGCCAAGTCTTGCCAAATGCTTCACAGTTTGGTAACCAATTCCTTTAGTGCCTCCAGTCACTATAGCAACCTTTCCATTTTGTGTAGGGAAAACTATATGAGAAAAAAGAAACAACACAAGGTTAGTTCACAACAGTAACAGAATTAAGAAGTTTAGATGCATTTTACAGTGTACACTTAACTTGACTGCTCAAGCCAAGCCAGTAAACAATCTTGGGAGCAAACTCTGTATGGAAATAAAAACTATGGAACATCCACCATTATTTACTGCACTACGATTTTCCAGTATTAACAGTTCATGGAAGACTGAGGTTGACGACACAAAAGGCAAACACCCACTTCAGAAATTTTCTCATTTCTATTTGCGTGCATTTCATCATCCTGCAGTCATCTGACCTTTAAAATTTCCACCATAACTTTGTTACTGAGCAAGGTGGCAGCAGTTGCATCAGCTCAGGGATGACTTACTCCATGTGTACAGGGAAAAAATTGCAATTGGCAGCATGATACCCTGAAAATTTCTTGAATGACAAGAGACCGGCCTCTGTCAGTAACATGGATGAAAGACCTCAGTCAAAGGTGAGCCATCAAAAGTACACCAGCTGACCCAAGTTCTCTGCATACCTGAGCACTTTCTTTTCTGAAAATCACAAGGCCCTGAGCCCCAAAGGAAGGAGGAAGCAATTGTCTTGCATAAAAGTGCTTTTCCCACCTACACCAGCCCTGTCCCTCAGAAGCCAGCATCCCTGGTACCGCTGTCAGCCTCCCTCTGCCTCCACTCCAAGTGTTCCTTGACCCACACACAGCCTGGCAGGCAGGGAATGCTCCCAAACTCCCTCTGCTAGAGGGGTGGCTTAGACACAGCCTGTGTCTCCTGCATCCCCAGGCAGCCCTTAGCCTGCCAAGTGAGCCAAGAAGCATCAGGGCTGGCCCTTGCAGAGCAGCTGCTGTTCCAGCTACAAGCTCTCACACTGGGGGCAGGCTGCACCCTCCCACCACGGAGGGAATCCTGCAGCCAAAGTAGAGCAAAGGCATTATAACTTAACCGCCTGGGAAAGGCGTGAATTATGCCAACTACAATTTTTTGGGGTGGAGAATCTTTCATGTGAAGCACCATGTAGTCCTTAGGTGGCTAAGGTGAATTTCTAAGTTGTTTTGGAGTAGAAGCCATGAGGTATTTGCACAGGAAAAATGGTACTGAATACTTCCTTTTGCTGTGGCACAGTGTCTGTAGGCAATGCTATAGATAACAAATGTTAAAAAGGTGCCAGTTTTCATTTATCAAAGGACTTTCTATTTTGATTTCTAGGTTTTTAGGGGATTGCTTTGTTGTACAACACCAACTCATATTTTACATAGTTATGAAACACAGGATTAGCACTGATACAAGCTTCTTTTTTCACAGCAACTTCAAAAAGGATCCACATTTCACCTTTTCTGAAACACATAATTCTTTCCATCATGATTCAACATGAATTTCTCTTCTCTTCAGGTAAGACTTGGTTCTTCCCATCCATGAAGAACAGGACTTGTTTACAGTTCTTTGAAGGTTAACTCTAATTATCTAATTACAGTGATATGCATGCACATAGATGTAATGACTTATATAATTCAAGCTAAATAAAACTTCCCCAGGACCTTTCTTAAGGGGCTTCAATTTAGTTATAAGCAGCCCTGCAATTTCCACCAAAAATACTTCCAATCACAAACTCCAAACAAAATGTCCAAATCTCATCAAGAGAAAATGCATTCTTTAGGGCCTGAGTACCTTCTCCTCCTCTTCTGCCTCCCCATGCCTCCCTTGCTTCCTGGCCTCCCAACACATTGCTGACCTGACATTTGGATTTCACATGTTGCATACAGGTGCTGTCACACATTTCCAATACTGCACCACCATACCTACCTATTGAATAAAAAGGGACGTTTTAATTCAAAATTCACTTAGAAGAAAATTAATGAAAGAAAAGGAGAAAAAGAATTCAGGACTGGGGAAGGGAGAATGACATGAAGTGAAAATGGAGAGTCAGAAGAGCAAAGTAACAGGAATTGCTGTGATGAAGTGGTTCTTAGCAGAGGACACAATTTAGCAGATGAAAGAAGATGTCCAATCCTGTCCTGCCCATGGTGAGTGCAAAGAAAAGGACAATTTTTTGGTCCTAATGGCCACTTAAAGACTCCACTGTAAAAAATGCATTCTGTGAGATCCTACATTACAGAGAGATTTAAAACAGGCCTGCTTGTAGCAGCTAGCTCCAAGGACCTAAGAAAGCAGACAGGGAGGGAGAAATGAGGGCTGCAGACAAACAGATAAGTGGAGATTATCTGTTTTATTTCCAAGAGGTACAGTATACAACTTCCACATAGCATGGTTTTGAATAGACACAGCACTGCATGGCACAACTTAGCCTATCCACTTACTTCAGTCAAAATAGAAAATGCAAAGAGAAAAATTGAAATAGGGGAGGGGAGTGGGACAGGAAGAAAAAAAAACCTCCTCAATTCTTAATTGTTATTAATTTAAAAAAAAAATGTACAGTTTCCATCAAGTCACGTCTTAATGTAAAATGAATCTTAATGTAAAATGAATTGAAATGAGACACAGCTACTATTTATGTCAACAAAAGTGGTCAGATCAAACACAGGCTCTGTGTATGAGCCAGGGTAACTCCAGTGAAAGGCAGTTTATTAATGCCTTGCTCCCTCTGGAACTCCAATATCACGTGGAGTTCACAGTACACCCAACTATCACTGTTAAAACACCACTTCCATGATGAAACTCAGCATGTAATTTTCAAAGCAGACCTGGGCTCAGCCTGGTTTTCAGCAGGTACTGGTTTATTTTGTGTGAGAGGTTGAGCTGAGTGCAGCTGGAGCCTCACAGCCCCCCAGGCAGGCAGGAGGCAGTGGAGACCCACCGGCTTTGCAATGCCCAGAGAGGTTCCCTCTGGCATTTCTTGCATCTCATTTGAACCACCCCAGTTCCCTCTCTCCCTCTGCTCCTGGTAAGGAGGTAGATATTTATCTCAAGTTCAGAGGCATAATGCCAGTGATATTTCCGTGGGACATGAGAACAGTACAGCCCTGTGCTAATGAAATCCCCTGACCAAGCAGTAGCTGTTAATTTCCCTTTGTGTTCAAAGAAACCAGCCTGCAGTCCTTAGCTACTCCTTTATCACACCAGTGTCTGAGAGAAGCTTCTCTCAAGCTGCAGGTTCTGCCTGCATTCCAGCGCATTTGGATGACATAAGCCTGTTTACTTTGCAAGTGGATTACCCTAAAACAGAAAAATAAGGCTGATTTATTATGTCCTGATATGAGGCTATTTAAAAATAATTCTTTTCCTTTTAAATATGCTTCTCCTTAAGCAGAAATAAATTCCACGTACAGAGACATTCTCACACAAATTCAATACTACAAAGAATGTAAGAAAATTCTGTAATTTTAAAAAATACTCATTCTCAAGGGACTCTAAAAAAGGGTAGTCAGAACTCCCCTGCAGCTGCAAAGATCAACGAGAAATTAAACAGTCTGCAGACTCATATCAATGACTAATTTCATATCAATGACCAGTTCCTGCCATCAAAATCTCAGCTCTGGGGCAGGGATGAGGGTCATTGAAGTAGTCAAATCAAAACAAAAGCACTAAACTTGCTCTTTTTTTGCAGGAATACACCATGTGAACACAGAAAATGCAAACCTCAGAAGAGCTTCCCTTGAGAGTAGCTTGCTTTGGTATTCTGAAACCTTTACAGCACATTGTGCTTGAGGCCCAAGGGAAAAAAGAAAAAAAAAGCATTAGAAGTTTATTTAAAGCAAATTGCATCAAAATTTTTACGAAGTTCCATCTCCAACCTTACTAACCTAGGATCTGCATTGTGGCACATTATGGGTCATATGGACATTAAAATATATCTTTATATTAATTTCCTCATTAACCTTCTTTTTAAGACATTGAAGGCCAAGAGTAGAATTTAGATTATCTGAATCAGTCACCAGTACTTATCAGACAAGACCTGAGCACAGCTGAAGGCATCCAAGAAGTTGGTCAGTGTCCACCTGTGAGATGCCACGCTGGGACCTGCCTTCACCTCCTGAACTGGCCATGTAGTGCAGGAACTTTGGTGGTATTTGTGCTGGAGAGATCCCTACAGACAAATCCCAACAGTTTTGGTTTTTTTTTTTCTTTCCTCCTATAACTGAATAATTTACATGCAAATATTAGGCCTGAAGGTAACAGGCAGAAGCACAGATGGAAAAAAAAAAATAAATAAAAGAACCAACAATGAATATTTAGTTTCGTGACTGAATAACAAGATCCAAGTTTGGAACCATTCCTGTATAGCAACACTGAGTGAGAAAAAGAGGGCAAGCTGTAATTTCCAGTCCTCACCTAACATCACAGGACAAGGCACAATCAAGTTCTTCTAGATGGATTAAAGAAATCATATAGCTCAGTGTTCCACAGAATTATTGAGTACTTTATCCTATTGCAAAATATTCCAACTGTCTTTCCCCGATTTATACCCTGGCAATGTTGAGATGATAGTCCTTAAACAGATGTAGAAAAATAATTCATTTCCCACTCTGAGAGGCAATCAGTAAGCTGCTGGGGAATCCATGCAGCTTTTAGCAACAGCCTTTTTTGCGTGCCTTAAAGAAACGTCTCCATAAAATTCTGGTTTGGCAGAAACCAGGCAAACAGGGTCTGGATTTAAATGTCATTCCAGGACTATCCTAACAGAAGAAAATTTAGGTACTCAAATCCTGACAGATAAGCCAGACAAACTGTGTCTGCTTCAAGCCTGTCCTAAGCCTGTGCAGGTGATTTTTCAAATGCAAATCGTTTTTCCAAATTTGCACACCAAAATCTTTTCTGCCATTGCTACTTCCAATCACTGTCCTAATGAACATCAATATGCCATCAAGATTGAAGGCCTTTAAGGCTGGAAACCAGGTAGGTGGCAACCAGCCTGACTAGTCCTTCTGTGGAAAGGTGTCCTGCTGGTTTCAGCAGCTGAGGCCATCGGGAACAACTGTCATGCACACATGCAGATCCACAGGCACACGGCCAACAGGTCCAACCTACCTCGAATGGCTGGATGCATTGTGTAAGGGAGATTTATCTGTCCAGGGACAGCATCTGCTCCCAAACACAACTGGAGTTTTGCATCAGATAGGTCACAAGCCTCCCAGCTTTTGTTAAGAATCATGAGGAAATGAAGGTATCAGAGAGAGGCTGGCCCTGGAGTTACTCATGGGAAGAGAAAGGTGTGGAAGAACCTGAAGAGCAGGAGAAACCAAACCATGGAAATGTGTCCCTTGCCCTACAAACTCATAGGTATCTCAAAGTGCTATTAATGGAATGTCAGCGGTCAGATGGCTGTGAGAATTTCAGCAGCCAGGGGAAGACATTTAATAAGGCTCCCATGCAGCCATTGACAGGGAATATGACTGCTCACAAAAGCACAGCAAAACCCCTGGCACACATAGGACTAAGTCTCTTGT